TAGATGTTGGATTTCATATACAATTTTGTCAATTAAAAAACTGAAATTAGGGGACTGGAGAGATGGCTCAGCAGTTAAGAGCACCAAATGCTCTTCCAGAGGACCTGGGTTCAGTTCCCAGCATCCATATGGCAGCTCACAACTGTCTGTAAATCCAGTTCCAGAGGATCTGACGCCTTCACACCAATGCACATAAAATAATTGTTTTTTAAAGACTGACGTTAGTAGGCCATGGTGCCACACGCCTTTAATCCCAGCACTCAGGAGCCAGATCTCCAGGAGCTCAAGGCCAGCCTGGTCTACAGAGAGAGTTCCAGGACAACCAGAGCTGTTACATAGAAAAACCCTGTCTCTGAAAACCAAAGGGGAAAAAAAGCCCATGAACTTCTCACTCTACCTAGACATTCACTTCTAGATGACCTTCCGTAAATTAGATCCTGGCATGTGTGCTGATGTCAGCCATCTGGAAACTTCTTCCGGCCCTCTCTTTATGTAAGCTTTCTTTTCATTTACCTTCCAGTTGGTAAACTGGCTTAAAACCCAAACTCAGAACCATCAGCGCCTCTGTCTCCCTCTTCTGGCCTCCATGGTACCTACACTCACATCTGCACAGATCCACACATACATACACATCTTTTTAAAACACAAATCAATCTTTAAATTGAGTTATGTAATCGGGAGCTGTTCAGAACATTTTCTGTCTGTTTTTGCCTGCTGGTTGTCACTCTGTTAACAGCTGGCAGGGCTCTGTGTGGGGTGTTTATGAGAAGTGCTAAGCAGGTGTGGTTAGTTCCTCGTTGACAGCCATTTCTACCTCATTTCTTGCTCACCTGGTCCACATGTGTGGATTCGTAAGTGGAAATGCACTGTGGGTAATGGGTCCTCCACAGCCCCGCCCCTTTGCTACAGTTGATTTAATGTTGGGAACGTGGCTCTCATAAAACTCTGACCAATCATCCCAGTTCTCGAAAGGCAGAAGCAAGAGGATCTGTGTGAGTTCAAGGCCAGCTCCATCTATGTAGTGAATTCCAGGACAGCCAGAGCTACGTAGTGGGACCCTGTGTCAAAAAACAAAACAAATTCACAAGAGCCAAAGAAAAGAAAAAAGAAGCATTGTTGGGTATAGTGCTACATACCAATAATCCAAACACTCAGGAAGGATCATAAATTCAAGACCAGGCCAGGCAGTGGTGGTGCACTTCTTTAATCCCAACATTCAGGAGGCAGAGGCAGGCAGAGGCAGGCAGATCTCTGAGTATAGGCCAGCCTGGTCTACAGAGCGAGCTCCATTACAGTCAGAGTACAAAAAGAAACCTTGTCTCAAAAAAAAAGAAAAGAAAAGAAAAGAAAGAAAGAAGGAAGGAAGAAAGAAAGAAAGAAAGAAGAAAGGAAGGAAGAAAGAAAGGAAAATAAAAGAAGAGAAAAGGAAGAAAAGTAATACTGGGTTCAAGACCAACCTGGGCTACATGGTAAAACCATACCTCCAAGAAAAAGAGGAGAACATAGAAGTGGAAAAGGAGATTTACTTGAAGGAAACAGAAACTGAAAAAGGATAAGTCAGCTTCGGATCACACTCTCTAACATTCTCACCAAGAAAAAATAAGACAGCATTTTGTTTCCACAAAACAAGAACCAGACGCTATTTTTAAAGTAGCGTCTAAATGTGAGAAGGAGCATATGAGACTTTAAAACATGAAAACAGAATTTACAAATCAAAATAAAGGCTGGAATATAAATGTGAAAAAAATCTCTCAAAAGCACAAGATGAATGAAAACCAAGCTAAGGTTCCCTGTGACTCCCTAGCCAGCTAATCTAGCTAAAGCAGTGAGTGCCATGGTCAGATAGAAACCATGACAAAAAGAAAGAAGAAAAGAAATTAAGGAAGGAAGGAAGGAAGAAAGAGAGAGAGAAAGAAAGAAAGAAAGAAAGAAAAAGGAGGGGAACAATTGAGGAAGACATCCAGCATTGGCCTCTATACACGCTCCCCTGACACATACACCATAGATAGATACACACACACCATAAGTGCACACAGATATACAGGGTTTGAAAGGAGCAGGAAACAGCCACCCAGTCTTTGATTATATTTTTACAAATGTCTATTACCTGACTCAAACGTCAGACGTGCCAGATAGCCTATATTTCCAGATATATATACTGGGAAATACATACTCAACCCCTGGATTGCCAAGAGGGATTTTTGTTTTCTCACAGATTTGTTGGTGTTTTACTCGACGCAGAGAGGTGTTGAATTGATCTTTTAAGAGTCTGATGCAGGGCTAGAGAGATGACTCAGAGGTTAAGAGCATACTTGCTGTTCTTCCAGAGGCCCTGAGTACAATTCCCAGCAACCACATGGTGACTCACAACCATCTATAATGAGATCTGGCGCCCTGTTCTGGCCTGCAAACACAGTGTTCATGTAGACAGAACACTGTTTACATAATAAAGATAAAAATCTTTTAAAAAAAAAAGAGTCAGCCGGACGGTGGTGGCGCACGCCTTTAATCCCAGTACTCGGGAGGCAGAGGCAGGCGGATCTCTGTGACTTCGAGGCCAGCCTGGACTACAAGAGCTAGTTCCAGGACAGGAACCAAAAGCTACAGAGAAACCCTGTCTCGAAAAACCAAAAAAATAAAAAATAAATAAAAAATAAAAAAAAAAAAGAGTCTGATGCAATGGCTGGACTTAACACCAGTCATCAAAAATAAGCACTGTAGCATTTAAAGAATTATATAAGTTGCAAAATATACAACAAATTCAAGGACTCATTATCAAAGAAACTGAGTGTTGGTTACATCTTTTTTGTTTGTTTAAGTTTCTGAGACAGGGTTTCTCTGTAGCTTTGGCACTGGTCCTGGAACTAGCTCTTGTAGACCAGGCTGACTGAAACTCACAGAGATCCACCTGCCTCTGCCTCCAGAGTGCTGGGATTAAAGGAGTACACTACCATCGCCCCCACTTGAATTCCATCCTTTAGAAACTTTTGGCGTGTTAAAAGTTCCATAGTAAGCAGTCTTTGAAAATTAAGAACATGTTAAGAGTTTTCCTCAGTGGAGATAAGATAAAATATTTGGTAAACAGCATTAGATCCTCACACCAAAATTAATTTAAGGTGGAGGGTTAGGGATGTAGCCCAGTAGTATTTGCCTAACACACAGAAGGCCTTAGGTTTAATCCCTAGCACCGCAAGTAGATACGTAAATACATACAAAAATTCCACACAGATCAAGATTTACAAGGAAAATTTGGGAGAATGATTCTGATAGCTGGGAATGGGAAAACCACTTCTAAGCTCAAGATAAAGAAGCTATCAAAGGACAAAAAGGCTAAATATGAATTTATTTTAAAATCCTGCTTAATAACACCATCATACACCAACCCAAAACCCATGAAAATCTGGTGACAGGGCTGGAGAGATGGCTCAGAGGTTAAGAGCATTGCCTGCTCTTCCAGAGGTCCTAAGTTCAATTCCCAGCAACCACATGGTGGCTCACAACCATCTGTAATGAGATCTGGTGCCCTCTTCTGGCCTACAGGGATACACACAGACAGAATATTGTATACATAATAAATAAATATTTAAAAAAAAAAAAAGAAAAGAAAATCTGGTAACAACTCTTTCCGTTCCCACAAATTGATATGAAAGAGGCCAATATTTGACTCAGGAAAAAAAATATGGGTAAAAAAATACAAATAAACAGTTCTCGGGAAATAAATTACATATTGCCATAAAACATGAAAATATGCTCAAACTTCTCTATTATAAGGGAAATGCAAATTAAACTCCCAGATTGGCACAGCAAAAATTTTGATAACATCATGTGGATGAAGGTTAGGGAGACAGATGCTCAGACATATTGCTGGTGGGAGTTGTAAACTGCCTCACCCCCTGTGGGGAAGAACTTGACAACATCTATCTAAGTCTCAGATGTGTGTTTTGGCAGGCACCGTGAGTTGTATACCCCAAAACCATTCCTTCATATTTGTTGCTAACAGAACCCGGTTGCTCAGGTGGCCATGAGCCAATCACCGAGCAATGGATCTATGTATTGATTATTCATACTTGATAAACACTTGCTGGCTGCTAGGCACTGTTCTATGCTAAGAAGGCACCAATGAAGGACACCAAAGCCAAGAATCATGACAAATCCCTGCTTATTGGCCGAGGTTTTAAAGCAAAGGGTAACAGTGATATTTTGGTGTGCGCTTCAAATAGTAACTGACAAGATAATTTTCTATCCGAATGGAGGCTTTTGAGAGAAAATTGTACGTTACTGTAATATGAACCAGCAGAGCACAAACTCGGATTCGTGAAGACAGATTTGAAAATATGAGTTCTCCCTCATAATCTTAAAACATGGTTCATAGGCCGGGCAGTGGTGGCGCACGCCTTTAATCCCAGCACTCGGGAGGCAGAGGCAGGCGGATCTCTGTGAGTTCGAGGCCAGCCTGGTCTACAAGAGCTAGTTCCGGGACAGTCACCAAAGCTACAGAGAAACCCTGTCTCGAAAAAAAAAAAAAAAAAAAAGTCTGTGCTTTTATCTCCTGAGCCATCTCTTTAGATCCCAAAATAAAACCTTTTTTAAAAAGCAAGAGAAGAAAAAAAAATCCTGTTTTTATTCCTACTCTAAATGCACAGCTCAGAGATAATATTCTAATTGTTGCTGGGGTAAGAAAAAGGTTGTTTGTGGCTGGACTTTAATCCCAGCACTTGGGAAACAGAGGCAGGTGGATCTCTGTGCCTTCAAGTCAGCCTGGTCTACAGAGCGAATTCCAGGATAGCCAGGACCACACAGAGAAGCCCTGTCTCAAAAAAAAACAAAAGAAGAGGGGGAGGGAGGAGCTAGAATGGTGATTTATATTGGATTTACTTGGCTTTCTTGGTTCTAGAACCCAGAAATTTTTGCCAAGTGCTTTCAGAATTGATTTGTTTACTATTAGGTTTTGGTTTTAGTTTTGTTTATAAGAGTAGAGATCAAACCCAGAGTTTTGCACATGCTAAGGCAAAAGCCACCAGCTCTTAAATATCTGCATCACGGCCACTATTTGTTTTTGTTTGTTTGTTTGTTTAATCCATGTCCACACTTATAAATTCTGTTGGTGTGTGATTCCTTCCAGATTCCAGACATTCTGCTCTCTCTGGGCATCTCCTTACGCGAAATGGCCGCGATCTTTGTAGATTTTTTTTCTGGTTATACTTCATTGGGACACCAGAGGGCGCAAGAAGACTCGGCTCTTGTTTTTCTTTAAATCTCAAATCCTGGTGGATGCGGAGAACAAAAGACCGGGAACGCTGGGCCTTGAGACAAAGGGACACCGGGAAAAGACCGCCCGCCCAGTGTTGGATCCGCTTCCTCACTCGCCTTAGCCTCGGCTCCTTGGCCAGACTGAGGACTACAAAAAAAAAAAAAAAAAAAAGCCTAAGCTGAGCAACAATGGGGAAACAAGGCAAAACACAGTAGAATTTAAAAAATCAGCAGCGGGCTAAGGAATGACATTTGAGCTGTTTGTTTTTGCCTAATATTAGTAACTTTTAAAACGTATTTTTTTTTTAGTTCAGGATAATAACGTGCATATTGTAAAAAATTCGGAAATACAGATCGGATCATTTGTTAGATCTCAGGGAACCCGGGACATGCAGCTGAGGAGCCTGTTTAACATATCAGAGCTGATGCTGGCCGCCTGGTTCTCTCAGCATCTCCCCCCTACACACACACACACACACACACACACTACCTGTTACAGAGTCCTGGCTATGCAGCTCTTCTCACCCCACCCCTACACCTCCCCCCCCCCCCCCCCGACCTTCCCTTCCCTTCCCCTCAGCCCCTCTTTCCTATATAAATAACTGAACCATTTTGGCTATGGGCCCTCTTGGTACGCTTGGCTCTCTTGGCTCCTGGTCCCTCTCCCGCTTTTCTCTTCCTCTCTCGCTCTCCCTGCTTCTCTGAACCCTTCCAGGTGCCTCTGGCTATGCTCTGCCTCGTATCTGCAATAAAACTCATATACCTTGGAGCTGTCATGACCTCATTTTCTCATTCAACTCTTTTCTTCCTAGAGACAGGGTTTCTCTGTGCAGCCCTACCTGCCCTAGAACTCGCTCAGTAGACCAGGCTGGCCTCAAACTCAGAGATCCACCTGCCTCTGCCTCCGAGTGCTGGGATTAAAGGGTGTGCACCACCACCGCCCCTGGTTTCCAGACCGGCAGAGTCTAACGGATAGTTTTAAATTTCTTTCCAACCTTTCTTGTCATTTAATAAATGCATAAAGAGTCGGGCTGCACACTATTTGCTGACTAGATTGTAAACTTCACTTTAAGGGCTTTTGCTTGTTTGTTTGTTTGTTTGTTTGTTTGACAGACTCTCCTTTGTAGCCAGGGTGGCCTGAAATTTCGATGACGCTTGTGCCTCAGCCTCTGAGATGCTGGGACTAAAGACGTGAACTACCACACCCGGCTGATGATGGATAAACTCTATGACAACACTTTGCTGATAAAAGATGACAAATTTTCAACAGTGCTGCAGATAGCATAACATAAATGAGACCCTTGTCATTCTATGCTCAGAAGTGAGGAAAAAGGGCAGAGATATTTCTGTAGGTTCATAGTGAGTTCTAGGGCAGCCAGGACTGTCTCTGTAGAGGGACCTGATGAAGAAAGGAAGAGAGAGAGAAGGAGGGAAGGAGGAAGGGAGAAAAAAAGGAAAAGAAAAGAAAAAAATAAAAAAGTCTACTGGTAATAGTGGCACATGCCTTTAACCCCAGCACTCAGGAGGCAGAGGCAGGGGATCTCTGTGAGTTTGAGGCCGACCTGGCCTATAGAGTGAGTTCTAGGACAGTTAGGGCTGTTACAAAGAAAAACCCTGTCTCAAAAAAAAAAAAAAAAAAAAGAAAGAAAAAGAAAAAGAAAAACCATTTTTTTTCAATTCCACTAAATTTCATACACACATATATAATGTACTTTGTGTCCCCCCTTCCTCTCTTATCTTCCTCCCCGACAACCCCCTTTTTCCAAGAAGTCCCCTTTTTACATCCCCCCACCCCAAACATTTAGCGTTTACTTAAGGGTTTTTCTGTAAGCATCAGTGGGGATTATTTACTTAGGCAAGGGCTAAGCCACTGAGAACTAAGAATCACTTTCACTGACAGGGGGGCCTTCGGAGCCCCTCCCCATCCATGACGGAATCCTGACTGCTCCGAGAATACAGACTAGGTGCCAGCAGTCACAGCTGCTGTGAGTTCAGTTCCCATCTAGACACAGAAGCATTTCCCATCCTCTTCCCGCCTCCGTGTTCCCTGAGCCTTGGGGAATAGTCACATCTTTCGCTGTTGTTTGGAGTTTTTTTGTTTTCTGTTTGTTTTTCTTGTTTTCAACTCAGGGTTTCTCTGTGTAGCCCTGGCTGTCCTGGAACTCACTCTTTCGACCAGGCTGGCCTTGAATTCACAGAGATCCACCTGCCTCTGCCTCCCAAGTGCTGGGATTAAGGGTGTGTGCCACCTCTGCCTGGCTTTTGTTATATTTTTTTGAAATGGGGGGGGGGTTGTTAACATGAGTGCAGTACCCACAGAGGTCAGAGAAGCTCGATGGAGCCCTTGTAGCTGCAGTTACAGATGGTTACAAGTGTTGGGGAATGTGATTTTCAGGTGTGTGACTTTTGGTTAAGCTGCATTTGTTTAACTCTGTGAAACTATGTTACTGTGCCTGTCTAAAACACCTGATGGTCTGTCTAATAAGGAGATGAACAGCCAGTAGCAAGGCAGGAGCAAGGGTAAGTGGGGCTGGCAGGCAGAGAGAATAAATAGAAAGGGAACCAAGGAAAAAGAGAAGCAAAAGAACAAGGAGAGGAGGACTTCAGGGGCCAGCCACCCAGCTACACAGTCAGTCCCGGAGTGAGAAGGAAAGTAAGACATCTAGAAATAAGAAAGATAAAAGCCCAGAGGCAAAAGGTAGACAGGATAATATAAGAAAAGCTTGGTTAGAAACAAGCCAAGCTAAGGCCAGACATTTATAATGAAGAAAAGCCTCTGTGTGAGATTTATTTGGGAGCTGGGTGGTGGGCCTCCAAAGAGCCCAAAGAGTAAAAGTTCACACAGCATACAAGGGACCTGGTGAGGGTGCTGAGAATGGAACTCTGGTCCCACCCTCTGCTACAGATGTACACACTGTTAACCACTGCATCGTTTTGCCAGCCCCAGGGTTCACTGCCTACCCAAGCCGACCTCCATCCATCCTACCTGTTTAACTAGCCACCCTTCATTCTAGTCTGTTTTTCAGTATCTGCTCTTCCTGATGTCTAACATGGTATTATATTGCTTATTGTCTGCCTGCCTGATTATATAAGCACCAAAAGAAGAGGATTGACCCATTGAAATATCCCAGTACATCTATTACAATATCCGGCACACTGTAAGTTCGGTAGATGAATAAGGAGCCATATATTGTCTGTCAACTATAATAGCTGATCAGTCAGTACTAATACAGGAACAAGCAATGTTACATACGGCATATGCACACAAATGCTAGTGCATATTAGACATTTTTCTCTCCGTGGCCGGGGTTTACTTTTTTTTTTAAACGTACAAGCATGTGGATCTAAGTGAGCAGCAAAGCCAGGATTTGCTGCCAGAGCTTGCAGGATTCCCAGCTTTTCCTCACTTCCGACCTGTGAGCCACTCTGCCTAAGATTCTTTCAGCCCTACTTGCCTCGAGGGCTGATGAGAAGAGGGTGAATCATTTTGTGAGATAGGATTACTATCTAAACGACTACTTAGCTATAATATCAACCACCATTATGCTATATCTCCCTCCACCGAGCACTGGGTGACCTCTGGACTGCCTACTGCCAGCCGCGCTTGTAACCGGCGGTTTCTCCCCGTGCTGACAGTGAGGAATCTCGCCTGCCCGGTTCAGGTTAATTACCAGCTTTTCCTTTCCATTTTAGGAAGCCAGACAACAGGTGCTGAGGTGCTCGCTCCCTGGTCTGAGCTGACTCAGGCTGCTGCTTAGCGTGCCCGGGGTGCAGGAACACACGGGAACACAGGCACAGCTCGGCCGGGACAGAGTGAAGCAGGCATTGAGCGCCTCTTCTCCCTATATGGGGCAGGGCAAACAGGTGATCCAGCTGACCTCGGTTCCTGCTTCCTTGTAGCTCTGCCAACTGGAAGACCTGGGCAAGTCCTTTCGATCCTACCCAGAAAAGGGCATCGCCATAGTTAGCACAGGGCCCTTTGGATCTCACAAGACTTATTGGAGGATGAGAAGTGGACACAGGCTACAGAACATGGAGGATTTTGCTTTTTGAAGAAGTTAATATAGTTAGAGATGAAATAAAAAAAAAAAGAGAAAGGGCTAAAACGCACCTCAGAAATGGCCATTTCTGTCTATATTAAACAAATAACCTCTGCCAACAGATTTTTTTTTATTACCACGTAATTTATGATCTATAAATTTTCACTAGTTCTTAACACACTGCAAGAAAAGGACCCGAAGGTACATGGGTGACAGTTCTAATATTATATTGTTATTGTCTGTCTGGCTTCTACTATAACATAACTACCGTAAAATCGGGATGCCCCCAGTAAGATCTCGCAGCGCATCTAATGCAATGTCTGGTACCTTGTAGGTTTCAGACATCTCCTAAATCGTGTCTGTTTGCCTATGGCTGCATAAATGCACTTGGCGGCAAAAGAAAAGTTTCTAAGTGAGACCCTCCTTGTTGCCCTTGGGAAAATGGCTTGATCCTATTTATGAACCGGCTTAGTATATCCCAAACGCTCCCATTGGTCCTGATGCTGTATTTTCACAGCCCTATGCTAATCGATGGCGCATCTTTGTTTTTAACTCTTTAAATGCAGCATTGCTTGGCCATGCACAAAATTATTTCTGTCTTTGTTAAGTTGTAGACATCTTGAGACGGGTATAGGACAAAACAGCGGACCGGTAAAATTTCATCTGAAGGCAGCTAACCGTGAGCACGGATCCTTTTGTGACCTGAACGCCGACGATTGAAGACACGGGGCTGCGGGACAGCTCTGGCCCTGTTACAAATCTGGCACGCAACGATGCACTTCAAATGAAATACGAATTTGTGAGGCTCTCAAACGCCCTTTGAAACCCAAAAGCCTGACGCATTCGAAAAGCTCAGAGCTCTGCTAAGGTGTTTTCATGGAGTTCGCTAGAGTGAACTCAGGAGTGTATTTTATTCTAAAGAGAGCGAGAACCAGCAACAGGCCCAGATAAACAAGCGCTACAGCCCCTTCCAAGAGGTCCAGTTTTCCATCGAGAGAAATTGGACCCGGAGACAGCTCGTGTCTCCTTTAGGAGACACCAGGGAGCAGCGTCTCTCACGACTCCTCGTTAGTATAGTGGTTAGTATCCCCGCCTGTCACGCGGGAGACCGGGGTTCAATTCCCCGACGGGGAGGTCGGCTTTCTTTTTTCTTTTTAATTTGCCTGGAATGAGCTATCCAACATTCCTGTCTACTGTGCTGAGGAATCCTTTGTAAACTCCAAGCCGCTTTCCTCTAGAAGCAACCGCTTTTAAGTTCAACGCTCCCGATGAGACGCTTAGCGCGCTCGGAGCCCACAGCGTCGGGACAGAAAATGAAAGCTCGGTTGCTCAGCGGGGACAAGGACTGGCGCCCTGCGGCGTAGGCCCGCCCGCTGGCCCGCGCGTGCGCAGTGGCGTCCCGCCAGATTACAAAGGGAGGTCGCTCAGTAGGCCTGGGCAGGGTGGGGAGGAAAGAGGAGGCTCCGCCCCCTTGGGGCGGGGCGGCCTGGCCGGAAGTGGCTGGGACAGAAGAGGAAGCGCGGGTTTTTTGCGGTCCCGCCGAGCGGACCAGACGCGAGCCTTAGTCTCCCGCCTCCGCTGGTTCCCTTCCCAACCTAGACGGAGAGCTGGCCGGCAGGGCAGGGAGGCCGCGGGGCGAGCCGGCTCCGCCAGCTCCTGCGGGAGAGGCGCGGGCATGGACGGAGGAGGCGGGCTTCAACCGCCGTGGTCGCGGAGTCCTAAGGAACCGCGCGAGCCACAGCCCAGCAGGACCTCGTGGCGCAACGGTAGCGCGTCTGACTCCAGATCAGAAGGCTGCGTGTTCGAATCACGTCGGGGTCATGGCCCTTTTTGGTTTTGTTTTTTCTCCTTTTGGCGTTTGAACTCACTAGCTTAATGCGAGCCGTGGTGTGTTCCCGCCATTTTTCGAAAATGCCTTTTGTGCTTTAAAACTTCGTTCAAAAGTTACCGTAATACTTTAATTCCTGAACAATAAGGCTTAGACGCTATTATAGCGCCTGAAGGCCGTTTTTAGGCCTTCTAAAGTGAGGGGGTTTGGTTCTTGGGGTTTTTTTTTTGTCACTAATGACTTGAGAAATGGGCTTACGGCTCTGCCTTAAGTATATTATTTTTCACAGCAATTACGTAATACTGCGGTACAGACTGCTTCTCCAAAAATGGTTTTGATCTGTGTGCACGCAAGTACAATCGCTTACAGTGTTTTAAATGATAGAGGTTTTGAGCTGCAGGAAACAATTCGATTTTAAGCCACTGGGTGCCAACTGTTGGTTTAAGTGTCATGAAAATAGCTTAAACTGGAGTACCCTGGGTCATACAGCCTGTTCTTTACAAGGTGATACAGTTTGCTCTGTCTACATCGTAAAAGTTAAAATTTGTACAAATGAAAGAAGGTGTCTGGTTCAAACTAAGATAAAGAAGTACTGGACCAGAAAAATACACTAGACATAAAATGGGGGCGGGAGGGTTAAACACTGAATTGTCCATCCAAAGTTTAATGTTGGAACCCTAACTCAGTCCTTCCCAGTCCTCAGTAACTGCGATGTGGCTATTTGGAGACAGGGCTTTTAAAGCATTGAAAGTAAAAATGGGTCTATTATATTAGATGGAGTCCTAATGCAGTCGGACTGGCATCATGCTTTTGGACACGTGTCGAGGATGTGTGCGCATAGGAAGTTCATGTCAGGAGAGAACAAGGAGCCTCAGAAGATGTCAAAGCTGTCTGCTTCTACCGGGAAAGGGCTGGAGAGGCAGAAGAGGCAGACCGTACAGGCGGCTGGGTCCTAACTTATTCTGAGGGAAATGCGGAGCTGTTATAATCCCTCATGATTTTGTTATTCACGAGTTTAACAAGAGCAGAAAGGACACAGAACATGGCCTAGACTTTTTCCGGACTGCACCCTGGGAATAATGGGGAAAGTTAAAACTGAAGGTCCTGCTCACTGTACAAGTTAAGGGTGTCAAACAAGGCCGCACACACCAAGCGCTATGTGAACTGGAAAGCAGTACTCTTCTGTTTCCCGTCCTCGTAGTGTTGCTGTAATGAATCTCTCTAACCAAAGCCATTTAGGGAAGGAAGGGGTTTATTTTAACTGGGGGCTGGAGAGATGGCTCAGTGGTTAAGAGCATTGCCTGCTCTTCCAAAGGTCCTGAGTTCAATTCCCTTCAACCACATGATAGCTCACAACTATTTGTAAAGGTCTGGCACTCACCATGTAGACCAGGCTAGCCTCAGAAAGAGATCTGCTCGCCCCTGCCTCCTGAATCCTAGGACTAAAGGCATGTGCCGCCTCCACCTGACTAATTACTATTTTTCTTCTAAAACTTCCGTTTCGCTGGTGTTAGCTTGTCCGCCTAAGCTGGATCTCTATAGTTTCTTAGAATGGCTAATTGGGTGGCTTAGTGTCACTTAGAAGCAACCCAACACCACGTGTGAACTGGTCTACATTCCTTATAAAGGGATGGCATGTCAAGAGAATCTCAGGAATACACACATCCACATTTGAATCTTCAGTTATATATATTCAAAGATTTACTGATGTGAGTGCGCGCGCGCGCGCGCGCGCGCGCGTGTGTGTGTGTGTGTGTGTGTGTGTGTGTGTGTGTGTGTGTGTGTTGGGGGGGGTGCTCTCGGAGGCCTTAAGGGGGCTTCAAGATTCCTGGAGCTGCCTGACATGGCTGCTGGAAACAGCTCAGGATCTCTGGAAGAAAACCAAGCACTCTTACCCACTGAGCTTTCTCTCCAGCCCCTGAACTTTCAAAATCTGGACATATGATTTTGTGTTTGTTCAATTAAAAAAGGACTAGTATTATTTACCCTAAAAAGGGATATATCTACTAGTACAGTATAATCTGGTTATCTATTCACCTGATTAATAAATAGCCTTTCTTCTGAGATTATTTTCAGTCAGTTACCTAAAACAGATAGTCTCTGGATGAGCTGATAAAATGGAAATTTTATACATTTTTTGTTTTTTTGTTTTTGTTTTTGTTTTTTGTTTTGTTTTGTTTTGTTTTTTGAGACAGGGTTTCTCTGTAGCTTTGGTGCCCGTCCCGGAACTAGCTCTTGTAGACCAGGCTGGCCTCGAACTCCCAGAGATCCGCCTGCTAAAATGGAAATTTTAAATCTGCTTCCTTGAAGGCAGACTTTGAATTCAGATTGGCTAAGTGATCCCTTAATTTCTCACAATTATTTTTTTTTAGGTGGGGAGCCTAACCAGGGTAGATTTTATTTGTTCTTCTCTTGAGACGGGATCTTAGTATGTAGCCCATCCTGGCCTCCAGCCTGTCATTTTCCCAGCTCAGCCTCCTGTTGATGGGACTAGCATGTATCACCGCATTCAGTTCTCATGTTAATTTTTTTCTTAATTACATTTATTTGCTTTTGTGGGGGTGGGAAGCTGATGCTGTCATGCTTGTGGAAGTGAGAAACCAACCTGTGGGACTCACTTCTCTCCTTTTACCACATGAGTCCCTGGGACCAGGCTTGGCAGCTGGTACCTTTAAACCACCTCATGTATGTTCACTGTAGAAATGTTAGAAAGTACAGAAAAAGAAAACAACTCACCCGGGGCCTCACTGCCCAACAGAATGACTTTGTTAGGAAAAGGCACTTGCTAAGGCTACGGGAGGCCAGAGGCCCACACACCAGTTCTCTCCTTCCATCGCGAGGGTTCTGGGGATCAGACTCAGGTCATCAAGAATGGTAGCAAGCCTCCCTTTCCTGCTAAGCCATCTTGTTACTCCACTTTCCACAGTGGAAATACTATGAACATTATGGTCAGAACGAATTTAGTATTCGTTACGGTTTTGACATGAAACGTCCCCAAAGGGCCATATGTTGGGAGCTTGGTTCACAGCTGCGGGCCACATTGACAGCACTAACTTCATCGGTGGGGTTAATCCATAGGTCGGTGTCGGTTAATACCGAATGGGCTAATAGGTGGCAGGGCCTGGTAGGTGGATATGTATTAGTTTTTACTTATGTGTTTATCAATGTTTTGCTTGCATATATGTCTGTGAATTACATTTGTGTCCGGTGCCCTAAGAGGTCAAAAGATTCCTGGAGCTGCCTGACATGGCTGCTGGAAACAGCTCAGGACCTCTGGAAGAAAACCAAGCACTCTTACCCATCGAGCTTTCTCTCCAGCCCATGTTGGAGGTCAGAAGAGGGTGTTGGATCCCCTGGAACTGGAGTTAAGGACGGTTGTGAGCTGCCGTGTGGGTGCTGGGAATAGAGCCCAAGTCCTCTGCAAAAACCACTGAGCCCTCTCGAGCCCCCTGAAGCGTGTATCTTTTTCCTCCTGCCTTCCTGTCTCTCTCTGCTTCTCAGCTGCATAAAGTGAGTTTTCCCACCATGCCCTTCTGTGATAAAGCGTAGACCTTGTCGTAGCCCTAAGAGCGATGGAACCAGCCAATCACAGCTTGAAGTCTCGGAAACTGTGTGCCGACAGGATCCTTTCATTCTGGACACTGATTGGCTCAGATAAAATGTCAGTGTGACAACAAATGACTCACAGTATTCTTTTCTTTGCATTTTTTTTTTAATTTTTAAAACTGCATGTCTGTGGATTTGTTGTACCCACAGAGGTCGGAAGAGGACCCTAGGTCTCTGTGAACTGTGTTATAGACAGTTGTGAGCTGATGTAGAAGCTAGGAACTGAACTCCAGTCCTCTGAAAAAGCAACAAGTTGTCTTAATTGCTGAGCCATCCTTCCAGTCCCAGCATAGTTTTTAACTTATTTTATTTATGATGACGGCGATGTAGTGTTTGCCCGTGTCTGATGTAGGGGCCCAGAGAGGTCAGAGGACAACTCTGTGGAGCCAGGTCTCTCCTTCCACCTCAGCGTTGATTCTGCATATGGGACAAACACATGGTCACTTCAGGACTGCCAGATTCTCTTGAGGCCGGCTATGTAGCTCAGGCTGGCCTCCAATTCACAGTCAGCCTTCCAAGTGTAAGAATTATGAACATATGCCACTGTTCCCTGCCCCCGCCTTCTTCCCCCTTGAGACAGGGTCCCACTGTGCAGCTGTGGCTGGAACTCAATATGTACACCAGGCTGGCTCTGACCTCACAGAGACCCACTAGCTTCTCAGCTGCCGAGATTAAGGGCAAGAGGCAGTGCACCTGGCACAGTCTCTCATAGTCTCAAATGTCAATATGTTTTTATGGCCATGCAGTATTCCCTCACGTGTATATGTATATATTATGTAGTATTTGTTTTGGTTTAAATCTGGAATGTCCCCCAAAGGCTGGATCTGACCACTTGGTGACCAGCTTGTGGTGACCCTTAGGCTGTGAAGTCTGCAGGAAATGGAACACAGAGGCAGAAATAAGTCATTAGGGATGAATAGTGTGATATCCTGAAGTTCACAGTCAATCCCATGTAAAACAGCTTTTAAAAAGTCGCGTGCACCTTAATAGCATGAAAAAGGGAGGCGGTTATCCAAACGAATGAAAAACAAAGCTTTGGCAATGAGAATATGGTTAAGCCGTATGTATGCCAATTCAACCCCTAACAGCAACAAAAAATAAAAATAGGAAAAAATGACAAAATAATTTCACCAAATTTTGCTTTTTTAAACCTGTCCATTTACTTTAAAATATTTTTCTACTGATTCTCAAGGTTCTAGACATCACTTATATTTTAAGGATTTTTCTTAGTTTTGTACCCATTTCAATATGCAATACATATTTTTTTCTATTTTAGGCAATAACATATTAAATCTTTTGTTGTTAAATCAAGGTCTCTCACTACATAGTTCAGACTGACAACAAACTTGCTATCCCCCTGCCTCAGCCTCCCCAATGTTGATGACCATCCCCAGCAGTGTTGGAAGTTTTAATTAGGAAAGAGAGTATACAACCAATTAGGTGAGCAAAACTCCTAGTGGTTTTTCAGGATCCTAGCAGCAGCTAGTGATGAAGGTTGAGAGACTAGCCACCACAGGGGATGAGGCTGAACACAGGGGGAAGCTGGCGGTAAGAAAGGTGATCTGAGAGGCAGCTGTGGCTGCTGGTGCTGCTTAGGTCATCCATGCTTCTGTCACACAGGCTAAGAGCCAGGAGCTCTCAGTCTCTGAAAGAGAGGTGCTGCCGAGCAACACAGGGCAAGAGCCTGTGGAGAGAGAGAGAGAGAGAGAGAGAGAGAGAGAGGAGAGAGGAGAGAGGAGAGAGGAGGAGAGGGAGCGAGAGAGGAGAGAAAGAAGGAAGGAAGGAAGGAGGAAGGAAGGAAGGAAGAAAGAAAGAAAGAAAAGTTAATTTCTGGGACCCATCCAGCAAGTTAGTAAATGAAGCAGGGAAGATAGCAAACGCTAATCTAGCCAGACGAACAAAGGATTGTTAGGGGAAAGTTTGGAAGCGGTAATTAGGAACAGTCACTAGCCTAACCTCCTGACCTTAACCTGTACAGAATAGGAGAGAAAAATATTCTGTACACTGGAATTACCAGAGTTAAAGCCAAAAGTCGGGTGGTGTGGTGCACCCTTTTAATCCCAGCGCCCCCCCCCCCCAGGCAGAGGCCCCAGAGCAGGGCTTCATACATGCTAGATACAGTATAAATACTCTTAAACACTCGAATGATGTATTAAAAAAAAAACATTAAAAAAAACTTGTTTGCTCATGGGAAAGATAGAATGTGTTATCTCTAAGGATTAAACTCCCTGGAAATTTTCTGTTGCAAAAGCCCAAAGGAGAACAAAGGAAAGAACAAAACCAGAGTTCTGAGGCTTTCCTTCAGGCAGGCCTCTGGGGTGCCAATGAGACTTCAGGGTTGACTTTTCTCCAATCAAACTTGGAAGAACGTTATTCTCCCGTGTCAATGACACCTACCTCCTCCTCCAAAGACCTGACTCACTGACCTAGCTGACCCAGAGGTCTCACCCAGGAGGACAGCAGTGATCCTGGGCCCTACTGTGCACTCCATCTGTGGTCAAACCTAGCTTGGTCACAGAACCATTTCAGTCAGAACAGCGATGTTTATTTCCAAAAGTATAAGCAGACCACAGTCAAATCCTTCAGCCACAAAGATAACAGGATAATTTGCTAATTCGCGGATCATGAAATAAACCCGTTGATTCTGTGGTCTGGAGGAGAGAAGACAGTTCAGGACGCTGTTTCTTTAGTTACTATAAAACTCTACTGGGGAAAAAATAAGACACCCTGCACGTTGGGACAATTGCACATGGATTTGTTAGGGCCACCCATCTGCAGTATCAGGCTTTTGATATCAGTTCATCTCCACAGGAAAGTAAAACACTTTTTACATATGTAATAAACGCTGGTCACACTCGCCCCTGTTATATATGTTAATGAGAAGCATTTGTTGTCAGTATTGTGTTCTAGAAGACATTAAAACTGTAGAATATTTAGGACTCCATCAAGCTCTACCTCGAATCAATGGAACGAATTTTATAGAGCGCCTGGCTTCCCTTTAAAATTAAAACTCCAGTATGCACCACTCCATGCATATGAAGTTGACTACTATATTAAGGAGTTTCTCAACATTATGCTTCGTTTTGTCCCATTACCAAGCGTAAGATCTGCTGAAGTTATGTTGAGATCCTTGGTGTGTTTGGGGTCTTACGTAGCCGGCTCAACGAAAACACAAAGCAGAGATTTGTCTTAAGCCCCAATTAACTATTGAAACCACAGCCTTTAGCAACCGGGTAAGAAGCGAGCACGGAGATTTAAAAAAAAAAAATGCAATTGTGTAACAAACTCAAGTAGCAGGGAAACATCCAGTCCTGGAAGTCTGCCTTTCCCAGGTTCCAGAACAAAAGAAGCCTTTGCCAACGAACGGGATTTGACTGCCTGCTCTCCACTTCCACTCCCCGAGCAATCACAGCTCGGAACACGGGCGCCCACAGTCTGCCCGGCTTCTCTGCTCCCCCAACGGGGGCCAGCATTGGGGGGCAGGCCAGGCTGTCGCCATCCTTCGGGGACTCGGCGTCCCGGGAGGGAGCCAGGCCCGGCCAAGGGTCCCCCCAAGAGCTGGCACCCAACTCGGGTCAACCGAAGGCGACCGATCCCGGTGCCAGGCTTCTCCGGAGCAGGCGGGGTTAGGAAGGAAAGGAAACGGGGCGCCCAAACAGCACCGCCCCGTGCCTTATCAGCGTCCGAGGGGAAGGGCGGAGGGGCGAGCAAAAGAGCGGGCCCGGAGCCCGAGCTCCCGCCCGAGCGCCTTTTAAACTGCGTTTCGGCACCTCTCTCTCAGCGCCGCGGCGGCTGGAACCCGCGCGAGCCTCCCGGCCAATGGGCGCCGCGCTTCCTCCCGCCACCCGCCAATGGCGGCGCGCGTTCTTGGGGCGTGCGCCAGCCAGGCCTTCCCCCCCCCCCCCCCAGCTTGTGTGTGTGGGCTAGGCTCGCCGCGGGCTCCCGGCTCCGCTGCTCTCTCTCGTTCGTGCGTCCCGGGCTTTTGTGGTGGAGCCGTCCCCGGCTTTTTGTCCCGGCTTCCGCGCGGCCCCGCGGCGCTGCTCCCGGCACCGGATCCCTCCTCCCCCGCCCCGGACAGCAGCAGCGAGCGAGAGCGAGGAGAGCGAGCGAGCGAGCGAGCGAGCGAGCGCGCCGGCGTGAGCGACGACCGAGGGGCCGCGGAGAGGGGGGGACCGAGCCGCCGTAGCCGAAGATGCCGGAGTTCCTGGAGGACCCCTCGGTCCTGACCAAAGACAAGTTGAAGAGCGAGTTGGTGGCCAACAACGTGACGCTCCCGGCCGGCGAGCAGCGCAAGGACGTGTACGTGCAGCTCTACCTGCAGCACCTCACGGCGCGCAACCGGCCGCCGCTCGGCGCGGGCGCCAACAGCAAGGGGCCCCCCGACTTCTCCAGCGACGAGGAGCGCGAGCCCACCCCGGTGCTCGGCTCCGGGACGGTCTCGGGTCGCGGCCGCGCCGCCGTCGGCAGGGTAAGGCCGCTCGGAGGAGGATGGAGGGGGGGGCGGGAACGACCGCCGGGGACGGGCGTTTGACGGCCGCGGCGCGTGCTCGGCGGCGCGGCTGCGGGGCCGGACCCCCGCGGGGTCGCCGTGGTCACCGAGGCCGCCGGCCCAGGAGGGGAGAGGACTGGGGACGAGCCGCTCGGATGCTCGGCTGGCCCGGCTCCGGGGCCCCTGCGCGCTCCGGAGCCGGTGTAGACGCGGCCTCCCGAGCCCTGGGCTTAAAACCCCCGTAGGCTCGGCCCCAGCACGCGAGCCGAAGTTCGAGCGATTTCCCGCTTTCGTGCCCAAGTGGCTCGCAAGCTAGGCTCAGAGCGCTCCCTGGAGGGCAGTTTGCGACATAGTCATCTCTGGCCAATTTTTATTTGAAATAAAGGCCTTCCCGCCTTTTTTGTTTTTTTTTAAATCTATTTTGCACGCAGAGGTTCTTGGGGGACCGTTTGTTGCCTCGTGCGTGGTGCTCGTTCGCGGTCCGCCGGCCCCGCTTGTCGTGTGTTAGCGCAGCTGTAAACTGGATGCTTTACCCTGCGTTTGAGAAAGTCGTTCCCGTAGGCGTCCTGGAGAGCCCTAGTCAGTGAGAGTGATAACCGTTTTTAAGACTTTGCTCGAGGAAGTTAAAGATTCGGAAGCAGACAAAGTTGATGACGTACGGGTGTATCCGTATTACAGTTTGAAGCCGCAGATCAGTGACATCTCCTGGGTTCCCCCAAATATTTGCTACTTGGGTTTTTTTTGTTGTTGTTGTTCTTTGGGTACGCTTTGAATAGTTTTTGTTGTTGTTTATATTTAGAATTCAAGCATAAAAAGTAATTAAGACTTGATTGCTGTAACTTAAAATCTTTGAGAGGCCCAGTGAACGTTTTGATTGGAGTTGTTGCGGCTGTTTACCGGTGTAACCAAAAATGATGGCGGCTTGCTTCTCTCGTGCAGGGTATTGAACCCACAGCCTTTTTTCCCTCCGCTTAGCCTTTTCTACCGCGGCACTACCCCTCTAGTCAGTTTCTTCTTTGGAAGTTTTATACAGTGTTTTCTTGTTGAATGATAGTTTTTTTCTTTAAACGTTTTTTTTTCCTGATTGCTCAAATGAAAGATACGTCATAGACACGTGTGGATTTAGATGAGAAAACTTCGCTGCACTTCATTCCCCCAGTGTCTTAAGTCTCGCGCATAGTGGTGTCTAGTAAGCACAAGCCCGATAAATGGAAGGATCGGGTGCCTGTAATCCCAGCACTCTGGAGATGGAGGCGGCGGATCAGGAGTTCGTGGCCATCCTCAGCTGCTTGAGCTCTTGTTTAAAACCAATAAATAAGTAAATGTTGACCGGCCACGCCTATTGTTGTATTCGGCACCTCCCCATTTGTGACTTTTGGGGGGCAAACATGCATTTTATTGCATTTTTTAATTAAACAAAATACTGGATTTCATTCGAAATTTTTTACTTACGTGTGTATCAAATTCTTTACGAATTTTCTCCCAATTGACTACCCCCCATTCCTGCCCTCCCATTGGTCCCTTTTATCCCCTTCTACTTTGAAGGGTACACTTTATAATCTAGGTTCTGCATATGAAGGAATATGCGATATTTGTGTTTGGAAACGGAGTTGAGTTGAGATAGGGTCTCATGACCCTGGCTGGTCTTGAATTCGCTGTGCTCAAGGATGACCTTGCCTCTGACTCCCAGGTCCTGGGTTATGGGTGTGCATCACCAATCCCAGTGGGAGAAAGCGATGATAAATCCGCAGTTAAGAGCAGACCTGGTGGTTCACGATTCTAACCTAGGAACTCGGGAATCGAGACAGGATAGTGTCCAAAAAGCATTCTGTTCTCATGTCTGAGTTCCTCGTGTGTGCTGATTTCGTTTTTGACCTTAGCCATTCCGCCCAACTCATCTTTAAATAATGACCCTGTCCCCCCTTTTTTTTTTTTTTTTTTAGTAGGTTGGGTTGTGCCTTAAGCACGGAGGGACGGTTAAGAATCTTCTAGGCACGGTGTTGATCCCTCATCACTTGTGGGGAGGCAGAGTGTACCTCCTGTGCCCCTGGATCTCTAAGCTAGCTCTGTGGGTCTCAGAATGATAGACAGGTTTGTATTCTCCACCTGCAGTTTTTACATTTTTAAAATGTAGAACCTTTGATTGGACTCTTGATAATTACTTGAAAAAATTAATATTGGCCATCAGTTGGTATTGTATTCTTTTAAGCTACACGACTACAGTGAGTTTTGATATTTAGATCTTAAATTGCCACTTGTAAGTCGTAGTACATTTATGATTACTTGTATAAAGTTATCCTTAGGTTTTTTTTCTGTCTTGGTCTCCTAAGTGCTACCGTGCCCAGCCTTGGCAAACATTTTTAGTTAAAGGATAAATTGTTTCAAAGCACCATTATAGTGTTCTACCTTGGGTGCATATGATGGGGGGCCGTGTGTATTTTGTCTTGTTTTCTATTTTTAGGCTTTTAACTCTCTGTCTTGATAACTGTTTCTGGGTGTTAAAATTATCTGGATAGTGAGCACAAGAGTAAACATTTATGGAGTTGCAATCTGCCTTTTTGTTTGAGCATGCAGAGCATGCAAGTTGAGCTGTTAAGGCATCCACTCCTGAGAGAACCCCTCGGGGCCGGGGTTGAATCCAGAACTTCATGCATGCTTATTTATTGGATTTATTTACTTGTTATAGTCCAGGCTGGCCCTCAAATCAAGATCTGCCTGCCCCCAGGCAGTGTTAACACACACCTTTAATCCCAGCAGAGGCACGGGGTCTCTTGAGTTCGAGGCCAGCCTGGTCTAGGTTAGTTCCAGGATGGCCAGAGCTACACAGAGAAACACTGCCTCCATAAAACCAAAATCAAACAAAAAGGTCTGCCTGCCTCTGTTGGAATTAAAAGTGTGTGCCACCCTGCCTTGCCTGGCTTAACTTTTAGAGTTGTTTAAGCTGGTACAAGTATAATGAATGCACTTAAAATGCAACTGGATACATAGCCCATGTTCAGTGGAATATCTTTTAATAGTAGCTGGATATGGTGGTTCATGCCTCTAGTCCCAGAACTTGGGAGGCAGAGGCAGGAGGATTGCTGGGAGTTCAAGCTCACCCTGGATTTCAGTGCTTGGAAGCTCTTACTGTCCTTGCAGAAGACCCAGGCTTGCTTCTCAGCTCTGACGTGATTGCTCAAACCTGTAACACCTTGCTCCGGGGATCTGGTGCTCTCTGGTGGCCGCACATGGTATTCACAGTAATGCTGGCAAAGCACTCATTCACATAATTTTTTTTGTTTTTTTTTTTGTTTTTGTGTTTGTTTGTTTGTTTGTTTTTTCGAGACACGGTTTCTCTGTAGCTTTGGAGCCTGTCCTGGAACTAGCTCTTGTAGACCAGGCTGGTCTCGAACTCAGAGATCTGCCGGCCTCGGCCTCCTGAGTGCTGGGATTAAAGGCGTGTGCCACCACCGCCCGGCCTCATAATTTTTTTTAAAAGAAAAGATCAATTTATATACTTAAAGCTACCAAAAGGAGAATTCCACACAATGATACTTTCTTCTTGGTTGAAACTGCTGCTTTGTTAATTATATATGCCAAATTACCTGCTGCCCAATTTTTGTTCTTATTTATTTATTTTTTTTTGTTTTGTTTTTCGAGACAGGGTTTCGCTGTGGCTTTGGAGCCTGTCCTGGAACTAGCTCTGTAGACCAGGCTGGTCTCGAACTCACAGAGATCCGCCTGCCTCTGCCTCCCGAGTGCTGGGATTAAAGGCATTCGCCACCATCTTATTTAATGTATTTTGTTAGGTGGCATTCAGTTTTCCTGGAATTTTTTTCTCTACAGATTAAATTTTAAAATCACAGCCTGCTGCTGGACTCCCTACTTTCTGGTTCACCTCATGATAACATAATGCCCACTCCAATTTCTTCTGTTTTTCACTTGAAGTTTTTTCATTATGGAAGTGTGAATTGGTTTCCTGCTTCTAAAAAACCTTGCGTTGTTTCTGTTGTTCTTTTTTTATTTTCTTGTCGCTCTCTGAGGGCAGACTGGAACCTAGAGCGTGCCAGGCAGACATTCCCCTGTAGAGCTGGAGTGATGGCTCAGCCATTAAAGGCTAGGCTCACAACCCAAAGCATAAGAAATGGATTGGTTTTTCTCATCAAATTACACTTTGAATTATTTGATTTATGGATTAGGCTCTGTTTCTTTCCCTTTTTTAAAGATTTATTTATTTATATAATGTATATGAAGTGCTCTATCTGTATGTATACCTACAAGCCAGAAGAGAAGAGGACATTAGATCCAACTATAGATGGCAATGGGCCACCATGCAAATGCTGGGAACTGAACCCAGGCCCTCTGGAAGAGCAACTGGTTAATTTAACTGCTGAGCTATCTCTCCAGCTCCTGGCTCTGTTTCTTGTTTCTCTGTTTTAATGTTTCATTTTATGTGTATGGTGTTATGCTTGAATGTATGTCTGTGTGTCACTTGCCAGTGCCCTAAGAAACCATTCAAATCCCTTGACACTAGAGTTAGAGATTGATGTGAGCTACCAATTGGGTGCTGGGAATTGAAGAGCAGCCAGTGCTCTGAACTGCTGAGTCATCCTCTGGTCCCCTTTCCCTCATTTTTTGATGCTTGGGATAAAAATTAGGTACTATAATTGCATTCTTTCTCATGTTGTCTTATATACTATATCCAGATTACTCAAACTATACATTAAAAAAATGGTATCCTAGTATGAAGAATCAGATTGGGTCAGGTACTGTAGCGTGACTGTAATTCCAAGACTCAAGAATATGTTGACTGGGCTGGAGAGATGGCTCAGCGGTTAAGAGCATTGCCCGCTCTTCCAAAGGTCCTGAGTTCAATTCCCAGCAACCATATGGTGGCTCACAACCATCTGTAATGAGGTCTGGTGCCCTCTTCTGGCCTTCAGGCATACACACAGAAAGAACATTGTATACATAATAAATAAATATTAAAAAAAAAGAATATGTTGACTAGGGCTGGAGAGATGGCTCAGAGGTTAAGAGCATTGTCTGCTCTTCCAAAGGTCCTGAGTTCAATTCCCGGCAACCACATGGTGGCTCACAACCATCTGTAATGGGTCTAGTGCCCTCTTCTGGCCTGCAGGCATACACACAGACAGAATATTGTATACATAATAAGTAATAAATAAATAAATATTTTAGAAGAATATGTTGACCAAAGTTTATTTGTTTTACTTTGTTTTTATTTCTTTCTGGATACCTTTGGGCACACAATTGCTGTCCCTTTAGTTAGGCAGGGCCTTGCCAGTGAGACATACCCTCACCCCCAACAGCAGTGTTTAACATTTAAGTTACTTAAAGTTACTTGTGTATCGGGCTTGTTCAGTCTAACACAGTGGAACTTAGAAAACCCTTCAAATAATTAATTTGCTGGGGCTAATATAACAATAAGTTACTTGCTGGCTGCATAGAGAATGGCATGAGTGTAAAAGAGTGCTCTCCAGGTAGAGAAGATAATTCTACTTTGTTTCCAGAAAGCCACAAAAAAAACTGATAAGCCCAGACTTGAAGATAAAGATGACCTAGATGTGACCGAGCTCTCTAATGAAGACCTTCTGGATCAACTTGTGAGATATGGGGTAAATCCTGGTCCCATTGTGGGTAAGTTGATCAAATCTCAAAGTCTTTTCCAAGAAGCAAGACCCCAGATCGATCGATCTATCTATCTATCTATCTATCTTTATTTATTTTACTCTTGTTAATGGTTAGGATTGGGTATTTTTGTGAGTTTTTTTTTTCTGTTTGTTTTGTTTTTGTTTTGTTTTTTTGCTGTGGCTTTGGAGCCTGTCCTGGAACTAGCTCTGTAGACCAGGCTGGCCTCGAATGCAAGAGATCCTCCCGAGTGCTGGGATAAGGTGTGCGCCACCACCTCTGCCCGGCTGGAATTGGGTCTTCAGAGGCTATCAGTCGTTATTTATATAACCAATCAACACTTAAGTTTCCTTAATTCTAAATAAGAAAGATAAAAAATGAGAGTTACCAGGAGATAAAATGTAAGTTTAGCTATTGCTGCTGTCCTAGTCAGTGGTTGTTTGGCACCATTCTGTAAGCCCGATCTTATCTGGCAGTTGAAGGGACTGTGGTCAGATCATCTCAGTGAGTTAAAAGTATTTTTATTTAAGTCTGCCTTGATAGCCCTCAAGGACAAATGGAGCAGAAGGCAGCAGCACCAAAGGCTCTGGATTCTCCTTAGCTCTTCTAGGTAGCAGCAGTTTTGCCAGGGTCATTGTGATTCTCTTACAGGGTTTAGGCAGTAACCTCCAGGTGAGAAAAATTCACACACAACTTTAGGTTGTGTAAAAACTTGAACACTGGGTGGGGCTTGGTGTGTTTGTTATAACTATGACTAGAAACGATTTGGTTTTGTCCTTTGTTTAAGTCAGGGTTTTACTGTGTAGCCGGCCTGTCTTTGCTACCCAAGTGCTGAGTTTAAAAGTATGTGCTTCAGGGGCTGGAGAGATGGCTCAGTATTTAAGAGCACTGACTGCTCTTCCAGAGGTCCTGAGTTCAATTCCCAGCAACCACATGATGGCTCACAACCATCTGTAAAGAGATATAGTGCCCTTTTCTGGCTCGTAGACATAACATGCAGGCAGAACATAGTATACATAATAAATAAATCTCTTAAAAAATATAAAATAGGGCCTGGCGATGGTGGCGCACGCCTTTAATCCCAGTACTCGAGAGGCAGGCGGATCTCTGTGAGTTCAAGACCAGCCTGGTCTACAGAGCTAGTTCCAGGACAGGCTCCAAAGCCACAGAGAAACCCTGTCTCGAAAAACCAAAATATATATATATATATATATATTATATTTATATATTTATTTATATATATATAAAATTTAAAAAAGTATGTGCTTCATAGGCTACTCACAGATAGACAAACCTGTGGCTATAATTACCAATAGACATTTGATATCTTTTGTAAAATTCTGAGAGACACTGAGATGTATATTACATGAAAATATGCTAAATTACATGTTAATGTGCCAATCGTTTGTCCTAAGACTACTTACATAGTTCCTAGATATGTGTAGTTTGTGAGCAATGTACCAGTTGTATCATCTTCCAGAAATTATGGAAAGATAGGTGCCAAATGTAAATAGAAAAATTAAAGATGTTCAAGTATGTCCTGCCCGGCTCTTACAGTCTTTAAGTCCCAAAGAAATCACCCAGGTCTACATTAGTTATAAACTGATAGGCCTCGTAGCTCAGACTTCTTATTAACTCTTATAACTTATATTAGCCCATTATTCTTGTCTGTGGTAGCCACATAGCTCAGGACCATATTCAGCAAGGCAGTCACATCTTGCTTCTTCTGTGGCTGAGTCATGACTACAGACTAGGACTTCCTCCTAGAATTCTCATTGTCCCACCTCTACTTCCTGCCTGGTTGTCCCACCTATACTTCCTACCTGGCTACTGGCCAATCCACTTTTATTAAAATACAATTGACAGGGCACACACCATTGTCCCACAGCATTATGGTCTTGTGTAGTAATATGAGCGGGGGGGGGGGGGGGGGGGGGGGGGCTGCATCCCCAGCACCCCGGCAGCCTGGCTAGCTTATGCTCCGAAATAACACACAAACTGTATTTATTTAAACACTGCTTGGCCCTTTAGCTCTAGCCCTTACAGGCTAATTCTCACATCCCGATCAACCCATCTCTAATAATCTGTGAGCACCAGTCTTACCGGGAAAGTTTCAGCATGTCTAACCTGGCGGCTTGCTTCATCGCGTGCGTCTGCCCGGGAGAGCGGAGCATGCCATCTCTCTGAGGCATCTGCTCCCGAGAGGAGAGCTGTGGAGTCTGAGCTCACTTCCTCTTCCTCCCAGCGTTCTGTTCTGTTTACTCCTCCCACCTATCTTCTAACCAATGAGGGCCAAGCAGTTTCTTTTTATTTAACCAATGACCTTCCTCCATCAGTCTTGTGTTACCGTTCCAGAGAAACAGTGCTTTGGAAGAGGACATTATGTGTTATTTCTAATCACTTACTTTAGAACCATGTTACTTAAAAGCTGATTTCCAACAGGTGCTGGAGAGATGGTCCCAGTTTGAAGTCTGTACTGCTCTTTATGAGACCTGAGTCTTGGCTAGAGCCCACATGAGGTGGCTCACAAAGGCCTGCAACTCTAGCTCCAGGGGCACCTGGCTCCTCTGGCCCCCAGGCATCTGCTCTGTCCCATGCACATAACGTTTTGTTGTTGATTGTTTTTAGTCTTGTAAAAAGATAGTTTGTGCCAATACTAATGGAACTTTTGCCTTACCACAGGGACAACCAGGAAGCTGTATGAGAAAAAGCTGTTGAAACTGAGGGAGCAGGGGGCAGAATCGCGATCTTCTACTCCTCTACCAACAGTCTCTTCTTCAGCAGAAAATTCAAGACAGAACGGAAGTAACGACTCTGACAGATACAGCGACAATGAGGAAGGTAAATTTTAAATGCTGTTAGTCAAATGTGTGGGGGTTTTCCTGACTCAGTATTGACCATAAAGAAGGTAAAGTTTAAAACAGTATTGACAAAATATATGGAATTTTTTTTTGTCTAAGTAGCCATTTAACTTTTGCTTCAAATAGAATTTTTGTAAAGGCAAAGTTTTCTTTCTCCATTATCACATCTCCAGAAGAAATCATTAATTTGATATTTGTCTTTCCAGTTTTTATGTTTGATGATCAGTTTGGTAAATGCTCCTTTGTTTTTTTTTAAATTCTATATAAGTGATATACTGAGTCTTAATGTGCTATTTTGTTCAGTGTTATAGTTTTTAGATCATTACGTGTTTATTTCTTATAATTAATAATATAGTGTTAATATTTAAATATGACCTTTCCTTCTCTATTGATAGGCATACAAGTTATTTGAAAAATTTTGCTTGCATAATTTGATTTCATGGTAATTTTGACCATGATTTTAAATACTTTTTAAAATAGAACAAGACATACATTCCTTTTTAAACTAGAATAAATGCAGACTTTGATATTTAGAGTTTTAACTCATAATTTGCTAATTTTGTAACTATTTAATCTGACCATGCCTTCCAAGGCACTGTGTACCAAATTGGTTGCCAAGAGTGAAGTATAGGGTCCTTTTCTTCAGCAACTCTATTTTAGCAAGGAGGCAAAGAGTAAGACCAGCCCAGACCACGCTTAAACTTCCTGCCTCTTTTGCCTCTACAGGAAAGAAGAAAGAACACAAGAAAGCGAAGTCCACTAGGGATTTTGTTCCTTTTTCTGAACTTGCATCCGCTCCCTCTGGTGGATTTTTTCAGGGTATTTCTTTTCCTGAAATCTCCACCCGTCCTCCTCTGGGCAGGACTGAACTGCAGGCAGCTAAGAAAGTGCACTCTGCTAAGGGTGCTGAGCCAGCCTTGCTGGGGCAGGGGCAGACATCCATTCCTTCAGAATCTAGCTATGATAGATGTGTAGAGAAAAGTTCTCCGTCATCTTTTCAGCGTGAACTCTCTGCCAGGTTGGCCTCTGTGGCCGCTTCTCCTTCGCTGATGAGAGAGACCACTACTAGCTACTGTAAAGACACAGTAGAAAGCATTCACCGTGGAGGGAGGCGTAGAGCCCAGCCGGCCTGCGCTGCGGGGTCTGAGGTTTCGGAGCAGTCAGTTCTCTCTAGTGAAAGGGAAGTGCTGCAAGAGTCAGAGAGATCCCAAGTCATTTCTCCACCGCTTGCCTGTGCCATCAGAGACTATGTCAATTCTCTGCTAGTCCAGGGTGGGGTTGGCAGTTTGCCTGGGGCTTCTAGTTCTGCCCCCATACTGGATATAGAAAACATATGTAAGAGACTCAGCCAGTCTGGCCGTGAAGAGTCTGGATCCCTGTCTCCTCCCCACAAAGTCCCTAAACTCAGTGAGACGCCTGTAAAAGAAGGGAATTCAGGGTCACGTGTGGCATCTCAGGACAAACCTGAATCTGAACATATGTCTGCTTTTGCCAAAAGTGTTGTCTCTCGTTCCCTTACTACCTTAGGAATAGAAACGTCTAAACCACATGATAAAATAGATGCCTCAGACCCGTCTTTTCCTCTGCACGAGTCTATTTTGAAAGTAATCGAAGAGGAGTGGCAGCAGATTGATAGGCAGCTGCCGTCATTGGCATGCAGATATCCAGTTTCTCCCAGCGAGGCAACACAGATACTGTCCGTCCCAGCAGTAGATGATGAGATCGTGGGGCTCGTTTCAGAAACCACCCCAGGAGCAGCAAGTCAGGCGTCCTCCATTGAGTCTTGTGATAAACATGTGGACTTGGCTCTCTGCAGATCCTACGAGGCTGCAGCATCCACAGTGCAGATTGCCACCCACACTGCCTTTGTAGCTAAGTCTCTGCAAGCCGACCTGAGCCAGGCAGCGCAGCTTATTAGTTCAGACCCGAGTCATCCACACCGAGCACTTGAGATTCTGAGCAGAGCCTACGATGCAGCTTCATATCTCTGTGATGCTGCGTTTGATGGAGTGAGGGCGTCTGCCCATGCCATGGGGTCTTCTACTGTGGGCCGGCGGCATCTGTGGTTGAAGGACTGTAAGATTAACCCAGCTTCTAAGAATAAGTTGACTGCTGCCCCCTTTAAAGGTGGGACATTATTCAGAGGGGAAGTACACAAAGTTATTAAAAAGCGTGGAAAAAAACAGTAATAAAGAACAGAGACAAGCTTTTAATCGTAGCAGAGCTGATCTCAGGTTAAGCTCCACTCACCAAAGCACAGTCTGATCGCACATCCAGAAGCCTAGTAGAGTTTACCTGACACTTTGACACACGTCTTACACTGTTTCTTCCTGGTTAGTTTATAACTCTGGGTTTAAAAAAGAGTTCCAGCAGCCAAAATATCAGTAGAATCCTCACTTTTTGTTGTTGTTTTATTTTGTTCTGTTTTTGACGGCTCTTTGTAGCCCTGGATGTCCTGGAACTCACAGAGATCCCTGCCTTTGCATCCTGCGTGCTAGAATTAAAGGCGTGTGCCACCACTGCCCGGCAGCCTCACTTTTTTCCTTCTTTTTAGCAGTATCATTCACATGCCCTTAAGCCTAGATCAGAGTTAAACATTGTTAATCACTTGAAATACTGTTCTTTTTTTTCTTCTCAAAGGAATTTATTTTGCACACTCTAGTGTGCAGGAATGCCGAGTCTCACAGCAGTGATAGGCTCGCGCCCCGTGATTTCAGTCTGTTCTGCTCTTAGCTGCTTGTTGTCATCACACACATCTCTTGCCGGCCACCTCTGTAGCAGAACTCTTCTCGTCACTCTTGGCTAACTAGATACATGTTCTAAAATTTGTCTGCATTCTTGTTCGCACTCTTGTCTACAGCACACTTCATGATAATGCTAGATCATTGTGACTCTTTGAGTGCCAGTGCACAGACTGGCTAATTCAGACACTGCAAGAAAGGAAGGGAAAGGGCAGTGTCTTGGTGGTCCAGAGGCACATGCTGAGTGCATATGGCCCCGAGTTCAGTCCACCACCCAAAAACGTGATGAGAGTTTAAATCTAGAGATACCTTGTAGGAGAACGATACGAGATATGTGTACACACATGCTCACGGGTGTGCTTATTTTTTTAGTAAGCTAATTTTAAAAAGCAGTATCTAGTTGTGCATTCAGATAGAGGAGGTAGCTGGCGGTTCATGGGTCACACGAGCATGAGGACGACACTTTGAGGGACGCAGTGTGGGTGGCGAGAAGAAGATAGTCTGTTCACTTAGCATGACTTGTTAGATGAGTAAGACACTACAAAGACAGGGCTCTTTTACTTACATGTACTTGAAAGGGGTGTGTTGTATGTCCTGGGTAGTTAAATTTCAGATCTGGATGACAAAATTAGCAAATTTAAATTATTTTCTAAAAACCTATACTCCAATGTCTATGTCTGTATGAAGCAATGTATTACCCTGTTTTCATTTGTATGGTGGTAAGGTAAGGGAGCTTGACTAGAGAGACATGGTGAGTAGTCTGAGCGTGTCCATGTCTACTCCTGTTGTGTTCTTAGGCTCCACATTCCATCTCTGCAGCTGTGGTATTTGTCTTCTGAAATGTACATGTGTACATGTACCTGTTAAGTACTGTGTGATTTCTCTAAAGCAATGTATTCCTGTAGAATGCTTCGACAAATTCAATAAAGTTGTTAAATTTGAACAGTTTGTGTGGTCTCCAGAAACATGTTTTATGTGTGCTTTCTTATTGGAGTTTCAACAAGTTGAATGTTTGGATGAACATACCCTTTCCATTTTATCGTTGAAACATTCCAGGAGTGTAATTGAAAATATTCTTGTCATATATACTTTCATATTTAAGGGCCATATATTTAATTGGCTGTTAGAATCTAAATTTGAACAAGGGCTTAATTTGAAACCAGATAACTTATTTGTCTAGTCAGTTTCTGTTTCACTAGTAGGTTTTTTTTGCTCTGTGCTATCTCAAGTTTCTGGGATTCTGAAAGAAAGAACAAGAGTAGATTTACTATACCAAGGAGTGTACCAGATAGATACACTCAAGATCTAGTAGTAGTGTTGGGGATAGACTTGATTGTTACCAATCATTGTTTGGGGGAGAGGGGCATGGCAGGCATGTTTGGACTTACATATAAGGTTAGACTGGAAGGCCAACAAGACACAAAGTTATCCTGATCACTGTGAAGTGTGACTACAGAAAGCAAACTCTTGGAATAAAAGTTTTAGCAGTAATTGCTTTACTGTGACAAAAGTAGAAAAGTGAGAGATTTGGCTTTGTCTGGAGGCGGTCTCACTGTGTAGCACGGATCAGTCCACTCTAGACCCCCTGTCTCTGCAGCCCCGGGTGCAAAGATTACAGGTGGCACCACCATGGCTGCTGGGAAGTTAGAGTTTTCCGTGTATTTTAAAGATTTCATATAGGTCTTCAAATTACAGTAAAATCAAGACTGAAAGAATTGGAACATCAGCTCTTTTTAAAACTATGTTAGTGCGTTAATGACTTTAAAGAGACTCATCATCTTAGCTGCTTCTTTTGTTGTTGGGGATTGAACCTAGCACCCCAAGTACGTGCTCTACTACTGAGCTACACCCCCTAATTAAAGCTCTCCTTGGCAGCTAATATTTATTATCAAATGATTGGTGCCACAAATCTTGTTTTTAAAATTCTCCCCTTCCACATGCTAAATTTTAATTTAATAGCCAACCTTTACTGTGCAGCAGTGATGTGTCGCGTAGACAGAAAAATGTGTCCACATTGGCTTTGGTTTCTAGTGAAGAGCCTGCACAACAGCAGTTCAAATTCTCTTTTGTTTAAGGTTATTCTAGGGGTGGGGAGAAATGGAAAAGAGAGTAACTAGGAAGGAGTAACCAGATTAAACAGTGGGAAGCCACAAAAATGGGCTGACATTATAAAAGTAGAGGTTTAGGCTGTTTTGTTTTCGGTAAGAGGGTTTGTTTGATAAGTTTTACTAAGCAGTTTTGCCCCATTGATGTTTTATAACAATAAACAGATTGCCATGTGTGCTGATGTGTCTAAAAGCACGGTTCCAAAGTGATATTAGTAAAACATACCTCAAGTGTTGCGGTAAATACTGATTTCTCCAATGTCATTTCCAGACTCTAAAATAGAGCTCAAGCTTGAGAAGAGAGAGCCGCTAAAGGGCAGAGCAAAGACACCAGTAACACTCAAGCAAAGAAGAACTGAGCACAATCAGGTATCGGGAGCTTTATGGTAGCTTTATGATCACCGTATGCAGGTGTGAGTCGCCTCATCTGTCCCGCCTGTTGACCAGCTTACTCCCTCCGTCCGCTTAGCCTCGTGGTTAGATGGTGTGGGAAATAGGTAGTTGGTGGGGTGCGTCGGTAGCATAGCCTGTGGTGTCTGTCCTGTGCCGAGGAGCCACACTGCCTGCCCACTTTGTCATTTTGGTGCAGTGGATTTGAACCTGGGATCTCGGGTGTGCTGGAGGCCAGTGCTTCCTTTTGAGAGGGATGGTTTCAGAAGACAGAAATGTCCTTTTGATTCGACTTCTTTGGAATTTAGATGAATAGTTTTATACATCTGTTGTCTTTGTGTCTAGACTTCTGAATTTGAATCGACTTTGTTTCATTTGTGGCTTTCCCCTACACTTTGAAGTTAGTATGACTCTAAAACTACATTATTTAAGATAAAGATTTACAGTTGGGGGGGTGGGAGGATGACAAGATACAGTTTCCAAGAGGAAAATTATAGGAAACTGGGGAGAAAATAAGTATAAGGCATTAATAAATACATTGCTTTACAGAGGAACTTTACAGGCTCTAATTTCCGCCTGGTTCCAAGGATTCTTCTCATCCTTACTCTCCAACGTGTTACATTGTTCCCCTCGTGTCTGCCTCATTTCTGTGGTGGTTTTGAGATAGTGTTTCACTGTGTAGCCGAGGCTGGCCTTGAACTTGTCGAGCTTTCTGCTTCCTGATAGATGGCATTGGATCACAGCTGTGCACTGCCCTGCCCTGCTTCCTCCAGCCTGTGCCTCCCAGATGCAGGGTGGCAGGATTGTGTCACCTTTCCTGAACAGACGTGGTTTACTGGGTAATCTAGGCAAGGACTCTGTATTGATTCCCATTGCAGCTCTCTTCCTGTTTGACAGCCATAGTTGATCGTGACAGTATTTCCTACATTCGGGCAGGGGAGGCTGTTTCAAATGTTTGGGTCCTTTTCCTGATGTTCTGTATAATCTGCTATCCTGGAAACTAGACCTGTGTGTGACAGTCTAGTCGCAATGGAAATGTTGGATGTCAGGGATGGAATAGTCTTTTTAACTATTGTAGTTGGACTGAGGCTACTTCATTTAAACACAGGTATGTAGCTGGTGACTACTACATTGGACAGTGTAGACCTTAGGAGTTGGCCTGGGTTTGGATTCAGTTTCTTTGACAGTGTTTCATGAGTGATGTAGCCCTCCTGTTGATCGTTCCTTTAAATACACTAAAGTTAACTAGTACGTTCGGATGCTGAAAGGCTGACCCTTGTCTGGCCGTTTTACTAAAGGTTAGCAGCTGTGGATGACAGTGCCTCAGGTCATGGTGGCTTTATTTGAAATTACAAAATGATGGCTCTTCTCTTTGCCTCGTTATTTGCTCTATAGCTTTTATTAAAGACTTTCCTTGCTGAGTTCCTTAGTTACCTTGAAGTCAGCTATTACAAGAGAACCAGAAAAATGCCTCTTATTTGCCAGTTTTCAAATTAAAGCACTCCATCGTTTTTAAAGATGATAAATGTTTTTGAGACAGTCTCTTGGTGTAGCCCCGGCTGTCCTGGAGCTCAGTGTGTAGACCAGACTGGCCGAGAACTAACAGAAATGAGAGTTCTGGAATTAAAGGTGTGCCCAACGACACTGGATAATAAATGTTTTATGTCGTGATTTTTATATTCATGATCAGTTGTAATACATAATGATTACTCCTTCATACCAGAGCCTTCTGCATGCAGTACAAGCACTTCACTGCTGGGCTCCATTCCCAGCCCAATAGACGGGGTCTGGAGGCTCGTCCCTCGTTTTCCTTCTTTCTCCCGTCCTTACGGAGAACTTGTGAACACACGATGATATTTCAGGTTTACAAATACAGGTTATAAACTTGGTTCTGACACGTGTCTCATGCTGAGTATCTTGTTTTTTTCTAATTATTCTTTTCTTAATTTAAATATCATGTTTTGCATGTTTCAGAGTAAGGGTATTAAGTGCAATCCATTGCATTTTCATTAAGATATATCACTAGGATATAAAGTAAGATACTGCATGTTCAGTCTTGTGAATGAGTACTTTTTATAGCTTAATATACTGCTGGGGATTTCCCTTACTCTATAGAATTGATTGCTTTCCCCTAAGTTTAGAGTCTGTTCTCTTTTGGAAGCACTCTGTAATATTGTTTATTTTTGCTCCTTTCCCCTTTACATCAGTCATAACCTTCCTCCCATCTGTTCTGGAGTTCACTCCAAATCAAAATAGATTTTTCCTTCCCATTCCTCATGCAGCTGGATCCTGCATGTTGAGATTTGTGGGTATGCCGTAATTTATTCAACTGCTTTCCTTGGGTGAATGTGTGAGTTCTTTTCACGTAGGTGGTGTTTCTACCACGACAAACAGCCATTTGCAGGTGGCATTTCATCTTTCTCCGTTTGTCTCGGGAAAATGCATGAGTGAAAGGGTTGTGTAGTTTTTCTAGGCATCACCAAATGCCTTGTACCCCAGCACACTGAGAGCACTGTTCTCTGTTGGGGTGATAGAGTTAGTGGGAATGGTCACTATTCAGGCCCCACCTCCGTGTGGGTGGTGAGCACTTGAGACTAACGGAGCCTCATCCTCGCTCATTGATATAGTCTCTTTCCCCTCTCTCCTACTGTCCTGAGAATCAAATCTCATTGATATAGTCTTTTCCCCTCTCTTCTACTGTCCTGAGAATCAAATCTCATTGATATAGTCTCTTTCCCCTCTCTCCTAGTGTCCTGAGAATCAAATCTCATTGATATAGTCTCTTTCCCCCTCTCTCCTACTGTCCTGAGAATCAAATCTCATAGATATAGTCTCTTTCCCCCCTCTCTCCTACTGTCCTGAGAACCAAATCTCATTGATATAGTCTCTTTCCCCTCTCTCCTACTGTCCTGAGAATCAAATCCCATTGATATAGTCTCTTTCCCCTCTCTCCTACTGTCCTGAGAATCAAATCTCATTGATATAGTCTTTTCCCCCCCTCTCTCCTACTGTCCTGAGAATCAAATCTCATTGATATAGTCTCTTTCCCCCTCTCTCCTACTGTTCTGAGAATCAAATCCAGGAACTTCCACATGCTAGGTACCTATACCATCCTTAAGCTATACCCCTTTGCTAATAGTTTGAGAGTCTCACTGTGTAGCCCAGGCTAGCCTCAAGCTCATCATCCTACTGCCTCAACATCCTGTGGTTCACAAGTGTATACCACCATGCCAAACACTTTTTTTTTCTTGTGGAGGGCTGGGGTTCAGAGCTTAGAGTTTGTTTGGGGTTTATAGCCTTCAATAATCTCCTGTATTTTCACATGCCTCAGCTACCTGATGCCCTCTGGCTTATTCGTCACTTAGTAGCTTAATCAGAATTCAGTGAGAGGTTTATTTCTTCCTTTTGTCCCCGTGATGGATCAGAACTTCTAGGCATCATCTTGCTGATAGT